GGATGCGTGATATTTCGGAAGTCGGAACTAATATAGTTCCTTCGATATCAATATGTTTTCACGATCTTGAATTCTTGTCAACGACGGTGAACGAAAATTTCCAGACTTTGCCCTATCTGGCAATTTTTTTTTTTTGGGGGGGGGGGCTATGGACGCTATGCAAACTGCATTTGCATTTAAAAGAATTACATTAACAGCATCCGAATTAAAACGTAGCCGGAGAGTTAACTCATCTGTATGCAGTGGCGGAAATCTCGGGGGGGCGCCCCCCCCCCACACCTTCGTGGAAAATGACGAATTTTCGGAAATTTTGACCTATAAAAGGGCTAAAAACAGCCTTTTCGAGTGCAAATGGGGGGGGGGGGAAATTTGAAAGTTTTGTCGGAAATTTAGAAGGCTTCGTCCCCCCACCGGAAAAAGTGAATTTCCGCCACTGTCTGTGCGTAGTGTTTCCTTCAGTGCACACATGCAGACCGCAGTGGTATTGCGTTTTATTATATAGTAGAGAGTGAGATACTGACAAATACACAGTGAGATATTTTCCATACCTTCACTAGTGAAGATATCGATCATGTGACTTTTAGTATTTACACAATTTTTTGCTTGGGACTATATAATATATAAACAGAACATTACACGGTGGCTTGAAGATATGACTTTTATTTTCTCGTGATAAAAACAATATTTTACTCACTCGCTGCGCTCGTTCGTAAAATATTTTTTTCACCACTCGAAGATAAAAGTCATATCTTCGCGCTGCCGTGTAATATCCTCTATATAGTGCACGCGCATACACCTTGAAGAGTTTAAGCTTCGCGTTATACGTCAAACGGCAAACGCCAGGCAAAGAAAAAATTTCGGTATCAGGCAATAAAAAGTAAATGAACTTGCTGTTTGAAAACTGCAATGCATGATTATTCTTTCGACACAAGAAAGAAAATATGAAACGAAAATTTTGCCATGAAATTTCGAACCTGCCGTTTGCCGTTCCCGGAAACGTGAAGCTTAATAAACTCCCTCTTATTAGTCATAATTTGTAATCGAGGCCCCGTATATCCTATAGGAAACGGGAATAAACGGGGGAAATTTTCCGGCTATCGTAGGACTATAGAAAAAATTTGACTAAAATATCAACGCGTTTTCCGAAAATTATTTATAAAACTAAGCATGAAAGTTGAAGTAATGCTTTTGAGAAGATGTAGGGTCATTTATCTGAAATATTTACCATTAAAAATTCTGGGTTCAAACGGAAAAGGAAACTTTTGCGAAAAAAACAACAACAAGGCAACAATTAAACATCTGCAACTCCAAATACGTACGAAATATAAATAAGATTACAACTCACTCAGTTAAACTTCTAGACAGCTTGCAGAATGTATTCGAGACCCAGGCATGCACAGTTCATATAAATAAAGATTTCCTTGCAAATCAACATAGAGGTTCAGATTGAGTTCCAATACCGCTACCACTACCTCTAACTGGCTTAGTATACGCATCTGATTGGTTAATCGAATATATCCATCGCATCTGATTGGTTGATGGTCCCTTAGTGGTATATAGCAGTAGCGGTAGTGAAAGTCAAATCTAAACCTCTATAATAACATTTGAAGTTCTCTCGTAAATTTCCATCTCTTCTTTTCTTTTCTTTTCTTTTCTTTCATATTAATGCGAAAATATGAAAATAGAACTTTTCTCCATGGATGTCTTCACTTTTTCACGGAATATAAGCAATATATTGACTTTAAAATCTCAACAAAATACCATTTTTCACCTCTAGACAAACACAATCACTAACTTTGTCATATTTTCACAATTTCCACATAGAAAACTGGAGAAAGAGCGGTCGTTTTCATAACAGTCTCGTTTCTAGTTTCGTTTTACTGGCACAAAATCTTAAAATATTTATACACAAAAGTCGTTATAAATTGAAATAAACAACAAGAAAAAGGCGTCCTAAGGGAGTGGTCATTATTTATGGGGAGAGGGGGGGGGGGTGTTTGGTAAATGGGAGGGCGGGCAGCAAAGTTTTTCCCCTATAAATAGGGGGTCAAAACTTTTAACCTAGAGAAAAGGGGGGGTCAAAAAAGTTTTTGAACTTTAACGTCATGTCTATGCTATTTGTGATTATGGAAATCAGAACTCTAGACTCACAAGTCATAATGCCAAAGAGGTAAAGGAGACTCTGAAAATGCCATTTCCAACGATCTAGAGACTCAAAATTTTCAAAATTTCCCCGCTCGGCGCCAACCATGGTAGCGTTTTGTGGGAGTCGGACCCACCAAGTTTAACAAGCTTCCTACCTCCTGAGTGATCCAGTTGTGGTATTTACATAAACATACCATGCAAGTACTTAACTGATCAGATTCGGTCTATCAAAGCACAATGTAACGTTGTATATCCAAAAATCTGTTTCAGAAAATGCTCACATTTCAGTTCTATAGGGGTGGAAAAATACAAAAACGTTTCTGGGGGAGAATACCCCCAGGACCCCCCTACTAGTACATACCATACTACACCAAACGTTTTGTCACCAACAACCATCTGTCATCTCTCCACACTCAGTATAGTACGGTCCCTTTTTGTAGATGCCCCCCCCCCAAGACAAGTTCTTTAAAAAAGCCCTATGTTCAAATCATTTAGCTGTATGAAGACGGGCCATGGGTTAGGGTTATGGTAGGACAAATGTTGCATTGCAAAGTAGTAACACATAATATATATTTTTTAATCATATATGGTTAAATCGAATCATATTCACCAGGGTAAAACATCATGAGCTAGATTAAACAGATTGTCGTAATAATCTAATATCTAACTTTACCTGCAATGCACATCTGTTTCATTGCTGTTAATTTTTTTATTTTTTATTTTTTTAACAAATTTATTTGGATCAATGTATATACAAACATGCAAAAAAAAGCGAATATTTACATATTTAACTAAAAAACGCAGACATTTTAAAGTTAGATCCAAAAAGGCAAGGTACGAACGGGACTCTTTTGAAAAGTTCCCATGCAAGGCACCTGCCGGCGTCCAATTATATCATTATATGTACAGTGACACATAGTACACGTACGCACGCTCACAGACAAAACACACACAGACTGGTTATATACACACAAACGCTTAAAGATAGACTATTAAAAAACACATTTATTTTCGCTGTTTTCTATGACAGGGACAGTCACGCACCAAGGACCAGGCACAGGATAGTTCAACATCATATACTGACTACTGAGCGTAGAAGTTCTAAATACCTGCGTTTAAGAAAGTTTTTGAAAGAGATAGGGCTAGAGAAAGAATCTGGATTGACATCGTGACATACACTGTTCCACGGTTTGACAATAAGGTTGAAATAAGAAGATTGAAACGTAGCAGTTCTGCACATGGGAGTTTGAAGCATTACACCAGTAGCTTGGCTAAGTCGAATACGTCCATGTTGAACAAAAGAGGCGCAATTGTTAATATTAAGATCGACGTAACCATACAACGACTTGAAGAAAAATACGAGATCTTTCATCTCTCTATCGTAAGACTAGAGTGGTAAGAGTTCCAACTTCAACAGGCGTTGCTTGTATGGCATTTCACAAATCCCGGTTCTTAGAATCCATTTCGTGGCTCTTCTTTGTACTCTTTCAATCCTTTCACTGAGTTATCTGTTGTGAGTAGGCGACCAAAATTGTGTGGCATAGCTGAGCTTCGACTTCACCAGCGAAAGATACAATGTACGTCGGATGTTGATGTCTGTGAGTGAGTAGCAAGTCCTCTTAATCGCACCAAGCTGCCTGTTCGCTTTCGATACCATTTGGTTGATATGTAGGTTCCACTGCAGTTTGCTGGAGAATATTACGCCAAGGTCTTTCTCGTTGTCAACTCTCAACAGCTCTTTCGACCCGAGGTGGTAGGGAAAAGAAACTGGGGCCTTCTTGCGCGTCACCGACAATACTTTACACTTTGACCCGTTGAATTTAATGTTGTTATCCTGACTCCAAGTATCAAGGTTTGTTAAATTAGTTTATTGCAGCTGGTTGCAGTCATTCACTGATGTTATGTTCTTGTAAAGCGTAGTGTCATCTGCAAATAGTGCTGGAACTGTTGGAGATTAACAATATATAAATATATAGACAGTATTAACAGTTTAGAAGCCGGAAATGCGGCATGCGCCAACACTTCCGGTGAAACGAACACATGTTGTAAAAACATTAGTGATGAGAGCGAGCGTGCGAATGGAGATTGTTATATAGGGCGAGATATTAAACTAGTAAAAAAGGAAAGAGATTGTTAACTAAACCTGTGTTTATAAAACTGTGAATTGTCGTAAACACAACAGGAGGCAAATTTACGACAACTGGCACCTCCGACGGGATTGTAACTAGAGATTTAGCTCGAGCAAGAGCAAGGGAATTCCGAATATCGAGCCGAATATAATGGCATTAAAACAACAACTCGACGAAATTGATGGCAAGTTACGTTTACTCAATTTTACGACCAAGAAAACCGATGATATACTTAAAACAAACGATGAAGAAGTCGCTATTCGACAAAAGGGTCAAATAACAAAGATTATTTTGGCTATAAGTGACCTGAAACAACTAATCGAAGAAAAGAAATTTATCGAAGGCGACTCCGAAGAGAATGTCGCAGCATGGGGGGAATCAATCGAGGAAAATATAGCTTTGGCCGACGAGAAAGTGAAGCAGTTAAACGAGTATATTCAGCGCCTTAAAGCAGACGAACGCCAGAAAGAAAGCGCCCTGGAAAACGAAAATAAACGACTATTAGACGAAGAAAATTATACGAGACAACAAGCCTTCGAGAAACACGAAAGAGATAAACAACTTGCCTTCGAACAGGAACTTTTCAATCAAAAATTACAGTATCAAAAGGAAATTAAAGAAGTTCAAGCAGGGAAAAACTCATCTACAAAGCTACCAAAGCTTGTAATTACACCTTTTAATGGCTCATATCACGACTGGTTGCGATTCTGGGGCCAATTTTCTGCGGGTATTGAGTTGGCCGATATTCCTGATGTGATGAAATTCTCTTACCTGAAAGAGTTAGTAGAACCCAAGATACGGACATGTATAGATGGACTGCCCTTCACGACCGAAGGATACAAAAGTGCGAAGAAAATCCTTGAAGAAAAATATGGAAACACCAGTGAAATTGTGAATTCCTATGTGGAAGAAATCGTGAATTTGCCAACGATAACAAGTACCCGACCGGAGAAAATACACCCCTTCTACGAGAAATTGGTTTATTGTGTTCAGTCACTAGAAACTTTGGGAAAACTTCAAGAAGTAAATGGATATGTACGACTTACCTTGAACAAAGTACCTGGAATACGTGGGGACTTAGTCAGAACTGAGCCCAAATGGAAAGACTGGACATTCACAGATTTAGTCAAAGCACTGTTCGCTTGGACTGAAAGAAACCCTATTGAAGCAAAGACAAGCAACGAAAGGAAAGATGCATCAAGGGCTTATCAGACCCGTCAAGTAGATCAGAAATCTCGAGCGTGTGTATATTGCGACTCTAAAAATCACAAGTCCATTGCTTGTGACTCGGTGACCACCTGTGAAGCTCGACGAAAGATTTTATCGGACAAGAAACTGTGTTTTAACTGCACGGGTGGTAGTCATAGGGCATCTGAGTGTAGGAGTAAGCAAACCTGCCAGAACTATATCCGACGTCACCACACCTCAATATGTGAACCAGCCAAAACCATTTTGACCGCAGCATACCACCCCAGCGATCACAAAGTAATTTACCCAGTAGTTCTTGTCGAAGTCGACGGTACCAAGTGTAGGGCACTGCTTGACACTGGTTCCGGAAGCTCATACGCATCTGCAAAGTTAGTCGAACAGTTAAACAAGAAACCTAGTGAGTCGAAAGTTACAAGAGTTGAAATGCTAATGGGATCAGCAACTCGTCGAGTGGAAATCTTTAATGTGAACATTAGCAGTACTGAAGCAACTTTAACTTGGAAACTAAGCTGACTAAAGTGGAAAAACCTTGTTTGATAGAACTTCCTAACCCTCATTATGACAGTCTAATCAAGAAATATCCCCATCTTGGTGGAGTGAAGATGATTGACGATGACCAAAAGGATCAACTTCCAATACATGTCGTGTTGGGAGCTTGTGACTATGCCCGTATCAAAACAAAATGTGCCCAAAGAGTCGGTTCACCTGGAGATCCAGTTGCAGAGAAAACATCATTCGGCTGGACTATGATGTCACCCGGAGTTGAAAGTGATTCAAACAAGATGTTGCTAACACAGACCTCCACTGCTGATTATGAAAACCTCTGTCGGTTGGATGTGCTTGGTTTAGAAGATCTTCCAGACAATGACCAGGACATTGTTTACGCAGAATTCAAAGAGCAACTGAGACGTGACCCTGCAGGATGGTACGAGACTGGGTTACCCTGGAAGGGTAACCATCTTCCTTTACCAAGTAACAAGCAGGGTAGTGTTCGACGGTTAGAATCACTAATGCGAAAACTGAATCGCTCTTCCATTACCGAGAAATATGATCAGATTATTCAAGAACAGCTTCAAGAGGACATTCTACAGAGTGCTCCAGAAAAACCTAACGGACATGAGTTTTATATCCCGCACAAACCGGTGATTCGAGAGAACGCTGACAGCACTAAATTAAGAATCGTATATGATGCATCAGCCAAAGAAAGCGCAGAAGCACCATCACTTAATGACTGTCTCTCCCTAATGACGTACAATTTCCAAGATCTATTGTGCGACATCAAGAGACAATCGAAAGCGTAGATTTACACAGCTTCGGAGATGCAAGTGGAAATGGAGTTGCGGCCGCAGTTTACGCAATTGTGAATCAACAATCTGGAAGCAGTCAAGGTCTTGTAGCAGCGAAATCACGTCTAGCGAAAAGAAATACTATCGATGATCTGTTGAAGAAGCACAACCTTTGGAAGGTCCTGCGAATCGGTGCATGGATCAATCGTTTCCTACTGAATTGCAAAGCAAAACCTCGTGATCGACAGTTCGGTCGTCTGCGCGCCAGTGAGATAAAGATCGTGAAGAGATGGTGGATTAAACGAGTGCAGAACGAAGCGAAAAAACAACCAGTATTTGCTAAAGAAAGCCTGGAACTGAATCTTCAAGAGAACGATGAACATATCCTAGAATGTAGAGGAAGAATTCAGGGCGTTTATCCTGTATACCTACCTGACAACCATACCTTTACCGAGAAAGTAGTTGAAGATTCTCACTTGCAAACGCTCCACGGGGGAGTGACCTTAACCATGACCCACGTCCGAAACAGCTACTGGATCCCCAGATTAAGAAGATTGGTCAAGCGTATTCGAAAGAGTTGCTTCGGGTGTAAGCGGGCTCAAGCGAAGGCGTATTCTGTACCGCCCCCTGGAATCCTACCAACAACAAGAACAGAAGGAAAAAATGCGTTTGAAGTTATTGGAGTGGACTTCGCGGGTCCACTTAAATATTGTACAGCTCGAAAGACTTTCAAGAAATCTTATTTGATCTTGTACACATGCAGCCTGACTCGTGGAATGTATTTGGAATTACTACCAAGCTTAGAGACGGACGAGTTCTTGAAAAGCTTTAAAACATTTATTGCAAGAAGGGGACGACCAAAACTCGTGTATTCTGATAACGGGGGAACCTTTGTGGGAGCAGCGTCCTGGCTCAGACAAGTTATGAATGACGAGAAATTGAACGGCTACTTGGCAAGGCAAGAGATCGAATGGCGGTTTAACCTTAGTCGCGCCCCATGGTGGGGCGGCCAGTTCGAGCGACTGGTGGGACTGGTCAAATCAGCTATGTACAAAGTCATTGGCGGTGGAAACCTATCTTGGAAAGAACTACAAGATGTCATCCTAGATGTCGAGGTAACCCTCAACAACCGGCCCCTTGATTACGTCGAAGACGACGTTCAACAACCTACATTAACACCCAACTCGATGTTGTTTGGACAATCGAATACTATCCCACAACTAGAGCCCCACAACATTGAAGATACAGATCTAAGGAAACGAGCAAAGTATTTGCGAAGGTGCAAGGATGCAGTTTGGCGTCGTTGGACCAAGGAATACCTAAGAGCACTACGTGAGAGACACAACCTAAAACACGGCACGAAGTTGGTTACACCGAAAATTGGTGACGTTGCGATTATTAAGAATGATGAGCGGAATCGAGGGAAATGGCAACTTGGAGTTATCGTGCAACTTATCACAGGCAAAGACGGGATTGTCAGAGGAGCGAAGTTACGAGCGGGAAAGGGTATTCTTGAGAGAGCCGTACAGCAGTTGTATCCATTAGAACTTTCGTGCAATTGTGAGAAACCAAAACCGGCATTGAGAGCCCAAGCTCCTGAGTTTCGACCAAGACGTACTGCAGCGGCTGTAGCGAGATTACGGATTCAAGACGAAGCTGAAGAGGATGAACTTGATTGACGTTCTTAGTAACTATTGGTGGTTTATTCTTATTGTTGTTGTTTGGGAATCTCCGATAGTTAACATATATATCTCAATATTTGAGTTATATAGGGGGAGTGTGTTGGAGATTAACAATATATAAATATATAGACAGTATTAACAGTTTAGAAGCCGGAAATGCGGCATGCGCCAACACTTCCGGTGAAACGAACACATGTTGTAAAAACATTAGTGATGAGAGCGAGCGTGCGAATGGAGATTGTTATATAGGGCGAGATATTAAACTAGTAAAAAAGGAAAGAGATTGTTAACTAAACCTGTGTTTATAAAACTGTGAATTGTCGTAAACACAACAGGAGGCAAATTTACGACAGAACTGCTTCGTTGTTGATGACTTCAGGAGCATCGTTGATGAATATAACGAACAACATTGGACCCAGGATACTACCTTGCGGCACTCCGGACGTAACTGGGGTCCATTTGGATACAGCACCGTCCACTACGACTCTCTGACGACGGTTGTTGAGGTAATCAGCCAACCAATTTAACAGCCTTCCTGTTACACCGTAACATTTGAGTTTATGAAGGAGAATGGAGTGATCTACGGAATCAAAGACTTTAGCGAAGTCGAGGTACACTATGTCTGACTGTTCGTTCTTATCAAGTTTTTGTCCTATAGAATGAAGCACGGAGAGCAATTGTGAAACGCAGGAACGATTTTGTAGAAAACCATGTTGATGAGGAGTGATGAGATGAAAGACATGTTCGTAAAATTGGGAATACACGCAACGTTCCAAAACTTTGCTGACTATAGGAAGGAGAGAAATGGGACGATAGTTTTCTGCTGGTTCTTTCAGCTGCTTCTTGTGCAGTGGAGTGATGTTCGCTGACTTCCATTCTAATGGAATTTCGTTTGTTTTCCCGCGTTTTTCTCGTTTCCTAGCATACGGGCCCCCGATTGCGAATAACGAATAAGGTCTATTAGCCAATCAATTTGCATGTTATATCCCACTTATATATAAATGCCAATAATAATGTAGATTTTCTGATTTACGCATGCTTAACTCTACAGCATCACGGTTGTACTACCATGAAAGAGTAAGTAGAATGCTGTACATGAAAGTAAATATGTCCAACAGGGTTCTTGATAGGTCTGACAGTGCATGTTTTCCGTTGTTGACGTAATACATATACAATACGGTATTCATTTTGTGCAGATTCCTGAAGAAGTTGCTCAACAAGCTTGTGATGCTGATGTCCATGCTGCTGGACATAGAACTCTTGTCCCTCAACTGGTAGAAGCCTTGAAGGCAAAGGACAAAAGGTCTGTCTAAAGTTCTCATTATGATGACAGTACCACACTTTCAGAACTTGTGAAGCAAACCCCCTAAAAGTGCAAAAATATTCTGACATCATCCACATAAAAATTAGATCTCTATCTACAAGTCTATACAATCTGAGCCGACGAAATAAGGGAACTGTTCTGTTCTTTCACAGAAAGTAATCAACTATCTTGTTAAATGTTTTTCATACTGTGTTCATCAGAATAAAGATACTCAGCTAGATTAATGCATGCATGCTCCGTCCACGTATTGGCCTTTATGCACCACGCGGGAGAAGCGCGTGTTTTAATACTTAATTTCGTCATTTCGTGGGCGCAATAAGATTTCAAAATGTCTTCCTGAAAGAGCATCACTGACGAAAAGATACCTCTTTTCTCAATTTACTACCAAAATTTTTGACGTCATATATTTATTTCCTCAAACATATGGATGTATTTAATATCATACAAGACAGAATAAAACGTAATCAGCATTAATGTTAACCTGTCTAACTCATAGATATCTTATATACACTAGATAGTGCATCTAATTATTCTGCAATTCAAAAATTGAAGCCTTGATATATTGCAGACTCAGGATATTCCCATGAAATGAGAAGACTCGTATGTTTTCTATTTCTTAAACAGGGAACTTAAACATTAAGTTAAACCTATTCCAAATACATTTTCAAACTATTCAAATGATGAAAGTTATTGTTGTTTTTTAAGCGTTTATTAGCGAGTGGGAAACTCTAACATGGTCGCCATCTATTCAAATGGGGGTAACCGCTGGAATATTCTTGGCTTCAATTTTACTAAAAGAGATGCGCTATCTAGTGTATATAAGATATCTATGGTCTAACTGCCAAGCATTTGTGCTAAATGTATATCGAGAAATTAGGACACCTCATATTTCTTTTAAAACCTGACATTAATTTATTTACAGCAATATACTCGTGCTTTGTGGTGGAGTAATTCCGCCGCCAGATTATGATTTTCTCTTTAAGAAAGGCGTTGCTGCTGTTTTCGGGCCAGGTATGTAATTTTCACGTTAATTTGATATTTTGAATTATTTTGTTCAAAAGCTGCCAACCTCGCAAGCCAGGGTTTTTATAGCTGCATGTGTAAATCGAACAGTGGTTTGAGTGACACCTTTCGCCTCCAACACAGTCAACACTGCAAATTGCAATCACAAGCATTCACATGGTGTAACAGACACTACCGCTACCGTTACCATTAACTAATCAGATGCATTTATTATTCTACCAAATTAACCAATTATTAAATGTGTTGAGAGGTAATGTTCGTTCATTCGCACTTTAAATCTGCAGGGTCTTTTCTACAATGATGATATATACAGTACTCTCCCAAACACCACAAAGTTTCTTCCGTGTACTCCAATGTCCCAGTAGTAGTTATACATTGAACCAATTACAGTACTGTTAGTAGGTCCTGTAGGTTATCTATGTGTTTTTGAATGGCTGCCGAGTTTATTAATAATTTATTTTAATTGTGCTTTAAGGTGCAAGAATTCCGCATGCAGCAATGGAAGTATTGAGGGCGATATCCTCTGGTGAGCAATGTAGACAAACAATGGCATAGGACATTGCGTTAAGAATTCTACAAATAGTTGCCATGCAGTAGATTCTCCAAGTGAGGTGAAGAACTCTGAAAATACGCATTCAAAAGACTTTGAAGTGGAAGCGCATATCAAAAGTGATTGTCAGCATCAGAAAATGGTACTCGTGGCTATAGCTAGGATACGTTCCTGGAGCTAAAGGTTGACTGCATGTCATGAATGTGAAAGGGAGGAAATTCAGTTCCCTTACAATGTTCACTTTCGTTTTCTTCTTCACGATTATAGTTACATCTAGGGAAGTCTACTTTAGCCACTCTCGTTCTTTCCAGAAATCTGTCTATTGTAAGATGGACGGTCTTACTCTTTTAAAATATTTTTGTGGGATTTGTTAAGCATTCCATATATTTGCACTTGCTGCAAAGTTTGCTCATTCTTTTGCTATGTCAGCACATTATGTCCAATATTCACTAGGGAAAGTGGCACTATTCATTTCCTGATCTATGCATAACGAAAACACTGATATAGGAAACTCGTGATCATATATATACAATTAGTATGATGTTTCCCGCGTACATTGCAGGTTTAGCAATAATCCAGTTGATTATTAGCCTGCGCGCAGACTATATTGAATTGAATTGAATTTAATTTGTCACACATTTTTTACAAGATTAAATATTTACATCATAATATAGGGTTCTCCAAACTATTTTGAATATGAGAGGTTATTAGTAGATCCTATAATATGTATGTGACGAGGAAGTCTAAAACAGAAGCCAACGGCTTATAAATATTAGACTCCTCGATATAATATATCATTATGTTCAATATATGACAGGAGGACATTATAGAGAAAAAAAACTAAAAAAATGATTATAACTTATAAGTCAATATTTAAATTACGGGATATTGAGAAGGTATTTATGAGATATACATAAGTAAGCATAGTAAATACATTAGTATAAATAGTCTTGCAGTAAAGAGTCTTTCAGTTTGGATTTGAACTGCAAAAGGTTTGGTAACATTTTTGATGGTTGTCCAATACAGCAGCATTTCACGACTCGTTACAACTTGTAAGGAATATTTCACGAGTCGTGAAGGACTTAAGAGTGCACCCAGCCAAGTGGGGAACTTCACGAAATTCGTACGACTCGTTAAATCCGTGAAATTTCACGACTCGTTACAACTTGTAATGAATGTTTCACGAGTCGTGAAGGACTTAAGAGTGCACCCAGCCAAGTGGTGAACCTCACGAAATTCGTACGACTCGTTAAATCCGTGAAATTTCACGACTCGTTACAACTTGTAATGAATGTTTCACGAGTGGTGAAGGACTTAAGAGTGCGCCCAGCCAAGTGGTGAACCTCACGAAATTCGTACGACTCGTTAAATCCGTGAAATTTCACGACTCGTGACAACTTGTGAGGAATATTTCACGAGTCGTGAAGGACTTAAGAGTGCCCCAGCCAAGTGGTGAACCTCACGAAATTCGTACGACTCGTTAAATCCGTGAAATTTCACGACTCGTGACAACTTGTGAGGAATATTTCACGAGTCGTGGAGGACTTAAGAGTGCAGGAGCCAAGTGGTGAACTTCACGAAATTCGTACGACTCGTTAAATCCGTGAAATTTCACGACTCGTGACAACTTGTGAGGAACATTTCACGAGTCGTGGAGGACTTAAGAGTGCACCAGCCAAGTGGTGAACCTCACGAAATTCGTACGACTCGTTAAATCCGTGAAATTTCACAACTCGTTACAACTTGTAATGAATGTTTCACAAGTCGTGAAGGACTTAAGAGTGTACCAGCCAAGTGGTGAACTTCACGAAATTCGTACGACTCGTTAAATCTGTGAAATTTCACGACTCGTGACAACTTGTAAAGAATGTTTCACGAGTCGTGGACGACTTAAGAGTGCGCCAGCCAAGTGGCAACACAATACAACAAATAGTTGTTGGAAATCTTGTATATGATCGTAAAAAGTGAGTATATACGGCAAGCACGGTGTAACCGAGTATAATGTTGACGCGAAAGTGAATGAAAAAAATGACAACATACAGGAAGGGCATACAAAGGAAGCGGCGAAATTTAAGACACCAAGTGATGATGGCACAAAGCAATACGATGTGGTAAATAATTTGCAAGATAAGTTGGAAAACATGATAAAAAAGTCAAAAAGGAAGAGCAATCAAATAAGTTGGATATTTCGGATCAATTTGGAAAGCACTTTAAGTCATTAATTAAAATACGCTCGATTCAAGCTAAGATGAACGCATATATTTTCTGATAAAAACTTCTTATTTGTGGTATATTAAATTACAATGCCAATGACCAATGTTGATATGATAGGTTAGTGGTAAAAACCTATTGTTTATACTGCTTGGAAGATAATATATGTGATAATATAATACGGAATAGGAAGTTGTTTAAAAGAAAGCAACAGAAACGCACTAAGGTGACTAAGCCTTTGCTTTGTGTTTCATTGCATTAATATATGTTACCGTTCCGGATTTGAGTGTTAAATTGGTTTTATATATTTTAAAAAGCATATACTTTACAATTGATTTTATTAATTGATTAATGCAGGATTTCGCAATATTTTATGACAATCCTGCAGCGATGACGATACGTATATAGGCATATTCGTTTTCTCGTTGTAAGCGGATCACTGTAACACTGATGTGTGCATGCATATAGCCATAAACCAAATTCCTGGCTTATCGCGTTTTTTACACTATACATGTTGGTTGCATGCATGCTAATATTCTTAACATTTTAAGCTAACATAATCAGTAAATGGCCCATTATTTAATGAAGGACGTCGGTGAAGGTTTATATCGTTTATTTAGGATTTTCTCACCATGAAAGTGTTCAACCGATATATAAGGGAGCACTCGTTAAATATAAAGATATACATGCAAGCTTCAGTGAAGCTAGCAAGTAGCAATGCCAAACTGTATATATGCGCAATCGCTCAATGCCAAAGTACATGTATACTTTCATACTGGGTTCATTGAAGAACGAGGCATGATGAGAATATATATATATTGTATCATGATGCATGAATATTCTATACAACCGTATAGAATATTCACTGATATGGCTTATTTAGGATTTTATCACCATACAAGTGTTTAACCGATATATAAGGGAGCACTCGTTAAATGATAAAGACATACATGCAAGCTTCAGTGAAGCTAGCAATGGCCGACTGTATACGCGCAATCGCTCAATGCCAAAGTATACTTGCAGAGTGGTTTTTGAAGAACGAGGCATGATCACAATATATAGATATATATCGTATGATGCATGAATATTCTATACAGTCACGTATAGAATATTCACTGATATGACTTTATATAAAGATACCAAATTCAATAAAGCAAAAAATGCCGAAGTATAAGTATACTTGTAGACTGCATTTTTGAAGAACATGTAGGCATGAATATATATTACGGCAGGGCTTACAGGAAAGGTAAATTCAGAAGATATGATACCCGATACTATTTTTGCCTTTTTACGACTCGTCGGTAAATCATAAAGATATACAAGCTTCAGTGAAGTAGCAATGCCAAATTGTATACGCGCTAATCGCTCAATGCCAAAATATACTTGCAGAGTGGTTTTTGAAGAACGAGGCATGATCACAATATATATATATATAGGCCTATGTTGTATGATGCATGAATATTCTATACAACTGTATATAGAATATCACTGATATGGTTTGTTTAGGATTTTATCACCATGCAAGTGTTTAACGGATATATAAACGAGCACTCGTTAAATATAAAGATATATAAGCTTCAGTGAAGCTAGCAATGCCAAACTGTATACGCGCAATCGCTCAATGCCAAAGTATACTTGCAGAGTGGTTTTTGAAGAACGAGGCATGATCACAATACATATATATAGGCCTATGTTGTATGATGCATGAATATTCTATACAACTGTATAGAATATCACTGATATGGTTTGTTTAGGATTCTATCACCATGCACTAAGTGTTTAATGGTATATAAAGGAGCACTCGTTAAATGTAAAGATATATAAGCTTCAGTGAAGCTAGCAATGCCAAACTGTATACGCGCAATCGCTCAATGCCAAAGTATACTTGCAGAGTGGTTTTTGAAGAACGAGGCATGATCACAATACATATATATAGGCCTATGTTGTATGATGCATGAATATTCTATAGTGTATAGAATATCACTGATATGGTTTGTTTAGGATTCTATCACCATGCACTAAGTGTTTAACGGATATATAAAGGAGCACTCGTTAAATATAAAGATATATAAGCTTCATTGAAGCTAGCAATGCCAAGCTGTATATGCGCAATCGCTCAATGCCAAAGTATACTTGCAGAGTGGTTTTTGAAGAACGAGGCATGATCACAATATATAGATATATATCGTATGATGCATGAATATTCTATACAGTCGTATAGAATATTCACTGATATGACTTTATATAAAGATACCAAATTCAATAAAGCAAAAAATGCCGAAGTATAAGTATACTTGTAGACTGCATTTTTGAAGAACAGGCATGAATATATATTACGGCAGGGCTTACAGGAAAGGTAAATTCAGAAGATATGATACCCGATACTATTTTTGCCTTTTTACGACTCGTCGGTAAATATAAAGATATACAAGCTTCAGTGAAGTAGCAATGCCAAATTGTATACGCGCAATCGCTCAATCACCAAAGTATACTTGCAGAGTGGTTTTTGAAGAACGAGGCATGATCACAATATATATATATATAGGCCTATGTTGTATGATGCATGAATATTCTATACAACTGTATAGAATATCACTGATATGGTTTGTTTAGGATTTTATCACCATGCAAGTGTTTAACGGATATATAAAGGAGCACTCGTTAAATATAAAGATATATCCTATGTTGTATGATGCATGAATATTCTATACAACTGTATAGAATATCACTGATATGGTTTGTTTAGGATTCTATCACCATGCACTAAGTGTTTAACGGATATATAAAGGAGCAC